TAAGTTACTTTGTGAAACAGTTTGTCCAGTCTCATAATATTATATTCTTATAATATTTTATCATATTGTTACATAGACATCAAAACACCCAGCTGTGGACATTGACGTCCTAAGTGACTCGGGTCAAATTTCTCAGGCACTGAAGAAGATTAAAACATGATTTGTTCTAAACATCATCTGTAACTTTCTTTTATTTATTTTGCATCGGGTAACAGATGGGCTTGTTTTAATAATAAGGAATAAATAATTTCTGTTCATAAATGAAACATCAGATAATATACACCTTTATGACTTCACCTTCTCCAAAGTAAATTTAAAAAAGTATTTCTAAAAACTAATGGGGATGGCAAATATGCAAATATGTATGTCATCTAGAAATCATTTGAATGGGTGAAATGAAAAAAGCTGCATATTTTTGAGATTTTGTTGACATTGGAAACACAAATTTTATATTTAGTCTCCTGTGATTTTTTATGCAAGTTTATATATATATATATATATATATATATATATATATATATATATATATATATATATATATATATATATATATATATATATATATATATATATATAGCCTTGATTAAGTTGAAAAGTTGCTTCAAAATAAAATAAATGCATTATGCACATTTTTGATCATCTGCTTAATATGTCTGTTTTATTCGATTTTGGTCAGTTTACAACAAGCAAGCCAATGCATTAAGGATTTAGGTAATTTGAGTTTTTAGGTTCTTTTTAGTAAATTAAAGGTAAACAAATTTCCTTCTGAGATGAAAATTCTACAGTTATTGTTTTGAGAACTCATTAATGTCTATTCAGGTGGAAGATGCATTTTGTTTGTGGTACCTATGGACCCTGTTTGCCTGGAAAATTGTATAGTTTGCTCTTAGATTAGTTGAAGACAAAATTTAGGGCTAATGTCAGGGGTTACTCAACACAAAACCAGCCAGCCAACGTTTGTTAACTTGTGTATATGGAGTTCTATGGATCTTAATTAATCTTGTCCAGTAAACTGACTTCTGTGGCTTACACGGTGATGATCTCATCAATGTACAGTTTGAAAAAATCATAAATGGGTACATATTTTATAAATACCTCAGAATAATAAAAAATAAATTTGCTAGTTGGTGCATTACCCACTGAGATATCTCAACTGCTCCGAAATTTTTCCTGATGATGACTTTCACTCATTGATGATAACTGAGAATGACATCCAGATGAAAGGTAAAGAGGTAATAGGAAGTACAAGTCTGTATAGCATAAAAATGGGCAAAGTAATAACAAGTCGCATAATAACTCAACACCTTGTGTCCTTTTTTTTTTACTAATTTAAAATCTAAAACCATGAAACTAGAAATGTCCCATGTCTTAAAATCTTAAACAACATGAAATGTAGCATCAACAATTCTGTTTGATCTGTTACAGATTGAGTACAACTGGTGGTCCTGAAAAATGTCCACTAAATGAAATAAAAGGCCTTTAGACCTCTGTTCAACTATAGCTGTAAAACCTGTGCTACACTTTCCTCTAACTGGTGTAAAGGACTCAGAGACACTGGCTGGTTTATTTGCCTTACTGTAATCATCCTCATCATCCTCATCATTTCTGATGTAACAGCTGTGTGATCACAACTTTCCTTGATTGATGTGTAAGGAGGGGGCTGCTAAGGTCCTCCAATGTGTGAAGCTTCCTCACTGATGATCATATTTGCTTGACAGACATACTCTAGCAAAATGATTTGTTCCACCAGAAGACTGAGTTCTGCTGTGCTCAAAACAAATACTAAACTTGGAGATTATTTTTCCTCCAACTTTCAATTCATCTGAATTTGGGCTGTCAAGTGATTGATGAACTATCTCCACTCTTTACCAAAATGAAGCCGAAGCATGAATATACTGAAAGGCGCAATGGCCGAGCATGTACATTTTGATTTGTGATTCTGAATTGCGTTTAGTTTATTTTTAATTTCACCTCCTGTTTTCCCTGTACTGGTTACTCTTTCTCACTTGGTCTATGAATCAAATGGTGGGAAGATGCTCCTATCATAGTTACATAGTTACATAGTTACATAGCTGAAAAGAGACGGGCGGCCATCAAGTTCAGCCTTCCTTACATTTGTTTTTTTTCAGTTGATCCAAAAGAAGGCAAAAAAAAAAAAACTGTTTGAAGCACTTCCAATTTTGCAACAAACTAGGAAAAAATTCCTTGGATCAAGAAGCTATTACCCTCCTTGAATATTCTGTTTTTGCAAGTATGCATCTAGTTGCTGTTTGAATGTCTGTATGGACTATGATACAACCACTTCTTCAGACAGAGAATTCCACATCCTTATTGTTTTTACAGTAAAAAAACACTTTTATTTGCCTTAGACGAAACCTTCCTTCTTCCAGTCTAAACACATGACCTCGTGTCCTATGTAAAGTCTGGTTTGTGATGTTTTTCTAAACTAAAGAGGTTTATATTTGTTAACCTTTCTCCATAGCTGATATGTTCCATTCCTTTTATTAATTTTGTAGTCCGCCTCTGCACTTTTTCTAGTGCCATAATATCCTTCTTCAGAGCAGTTGCAAAAAATTGCACAGCATATACAATATGTGGTCTTACCAGTGATTTATAAAGAGGCAAAATAATATTCTCATCCAGAGAATGAATGCCCTTTTTCATGCATGACAATACCTTATTGGCCTAGCCACTGCTGATTGACATTGCACATTGTTGCATAGTTTGTTGTCTATAACAATTCCAAAGTCCTTTTTGTGTGTTGTTATCCTTAATTCCCTTCCATTAAGGGTATATGATGCTTGTGCATTCTTTACACCAAAGTGCATAACTTTGCATTTTTCAACATGAAATTTCACCTGCCATTTGAGTGCCCAGTCCCCCAGTCTATCTAAATCCCTCTGCAGCAAAGTAATATCTTGCTCACACTGTATTACTTTACAGAGTTTTATGTCACCTGCAAACACTGAAACATAACTTTCAATGTTTTTTTCAAGATCATTTATAAACATGTTAAATAGAAGGGGTCCCAGAAAAGAACAACTTGCCACCTCTGTCCAGTTTGAAAATTTACCATTAATGACAACCCTTTGTACTCTATTTTTAAGCCAATGTTCTACCCAAGAACAAGAATTTTCATCTAGACTGATATATTTGAGTTTGAACACTAATCTATTGTGTGGAACTGTATCAAATGCCTTGGCAAAATCCAAATAGATCACATCCACTGCAACACTCTGATCTATACTTCAAAAGTATACTGCAAAATATATACTTAATAATATAATATAGATCATTATTTTAAGGGTTACTCAAGAGTTTCTCAAAGCACTGATTAATTTATTTTAGGTGGTCATGGTGCCAGGAGTCTGATAGAGAGATTAACCCCTTAGCTGCCAGATGTGTAACTTCACTTCCGGCAAAGTTCCAGGCTGGCTAATATCAAGTCTGTGCAAAATTGGCATCAGACACCAGCTTGCACAGCATGCCAGCACCAGACAGTGAATGGTGGCATAAAACCAACTATGTGCCCCTGTCCTCCCCTCAGTTCATCCTCCTTGCCTTTCCTCCTTCTCTAGTGAGGAAGGAGTGATGTCAGGCAAGGAGGATTAGGTTGCAGGGAGATGTTGGACAGTATGGAACAGAGGTGATCTTTAGAGGGGTTTTTTTTGGGGGGGAGGGGGAGTGGACCACCTCAGAAAGGATTACACTAACCAAAACAAGTGTTTTTGTTTGGGGTGGTCCTTTAAGTGTTTGTGGAAGGCAAATCCTATTTGGAGCAGTGTGTTTTTAATAAAAAAGTTCATCTTGCCTTGCTACTGACACACTCAAACTTTGAGTGGTAGATAGCCTGTTTTTACTTATTTAGAATTCTTTTACTATATTGCGATTTTAAAAATAAATAAATAATTATTTAAATTTGCAGTGTGCTTCTATGCCACTGTTGGGAATTGCAAGCTTCTTCCCTCAGTATTATACACAGTGTAATGTACTGTGTGTGGCAAGTCTTTTTAAAAATTATTTAGAGGAAAAAATATTCTAAATGTGGCTGTGTATGTAATGTTTTGAAATGTTTTTTATTGTAGTGATTTTTCCCAGCTTGACTCAGTCTGGTGGTGTGAATACAGCAGCTACCTCCGCAAATGCAATTGGTTGAAGCTAATAGTGTATTTTTTTCCACAACATGATTTATTTTTTATATATTGTCAAAGACAGACTATCTGATTTGTAGTATGCTTCAGGGCCACTGCTTGTTCATTGCAAATTGCCATACAGTGTGTGGCTGTAGTTTACTGCACAAGTGAATCCTGTCTGCACTGAATGTGGCAGTAGTAATATTGTATAGTAATGAAAGGAGGAGCACAACCAATAAAAATGCAAAAAAACTTTATTGTACAGGCACACATATAACAGGTATCAACAGAGACATCATAAAGTGTCAATATACTTAAACATATCTATCCAATATGTAAACAATGACTAGGATCAAAGAGAAAAAGATCAAAAATAGAAACATTCTGATCTAAGTGATCAACAATACTTGGAATAACCACTGATACAACAGAGAAATGTTATGATAACTGTATGAAATAGTGAACCAAAAAATGCATACCAAATACAAATCCTATCAAGAAACATGAAAAGAGGGTGAAGACGTCAAACACAAAATAGCCCCCAACATTTTGGCGCTGTCTGCCTTTATCAAGGGAGCATGTAGTGAAGGAGACATAATAACCTTTATATACCAACATTTAACAATAAAACAATGGGAAACACCTGAGAGCTCTGAGTAGCTCTGCAAAGTGTGAGTGAGTCTTTTATAAGCTTTTATATACTCTTATTTCACTTGACATATTGCACTATTATTGTTCTGTACTTTTTTGCCTTGAAGGTTTCATAAATTCCTAATTAGAGGATTCTCTGTATGTATATATTTTAATTTTTATTTGCACTGTTTGGGCGCGGTTTACCACTTTTGTCTCTTCTAAAATAATTATCCAACTGATTGTCCAGATTTTTTGACTGCTCCTACTGGCCAGCATATCTTTTTTTGCTTGACAGCACATTGGTAGCTTAACAGCACCATGGTTTTCTTGACAGCACTGTGGATTACTTGACAGCACTGTGGTCCCTGGACATGGTGATGGAAGTGGAGGAGGTCCAACCTTGTGTAGCACATTTCTCCTGCTACATCCATATATGGTGGATGAAAAGCACACTTCAGAAAACATCTTGCAGGCAATCAGATGGCAAATTGGTTGTATGTGCATCTAGGATTAGTAGTCACTGCTAACGTGTGTTTGAAACTCAGGTGTTTCTGGAAAAATGGTTTGACTAAGGTGACTTTTCTCACCGTGCACAAGTCTGTCAGTCAGTGTTTGATGTTACAGTAATCTCTGAGGAGACCATACATAAATTCTGATTGTAATACATTACCAGTTTAATTCCCATTTAAGTTTAATGTAGAAGTTGGATATCATTAAATACTTTTAAACAACTGTGTTGTGTTTTATATAAATATGTCAAAGCATACATTTAACCTTTAAGAAGACAAAAAGAGGAAAGAAAGGTGGAAGAATAAAAAAAAAACATCACTAATGGGCATAATTAAATTTAGTTTAGAAGCTCAGGTGCATCACAGTCTAGCAACCATAATAATGTACAAGTTGTTCCTTTGAGCTGCAACCCACATGATAGATAGTGTCTGTAATAGCATATGTGTAACATTTCTGACACAACTAGTTATATTAGGCTAGTCAGCTGTTCTCTGTCAGCACCTTTAGTACTTGCCTCAGGATGCTTACAATTAATCCTGAAGATGTTTGGCTACATCCTCAGAAAATGACTTTTAATGAATGACAGGGTTGACTCAATGCCACCTTAGCCCCAGGCCCAGCAGTAAATTTCATGTCCTTTCCTCATCAGGTAGCTATTACATTAGGGAGGTGACACGTGGTAATTAATTTACTGATATCTAGACCCCTAACAGATGACATTATTTGTTCTGCTTTATGCTTTAAATCTTGTGCAGCCATTCAGAGCCTTTTCATTCTTAATGAGAATGAGACATCCGATTGGCATTGTCTCTGTAAAGTTATTATGCTCGCCAGGATCTGAGTACAGGGTTCTCCCTACTTGTTTTTCTTTATAGTAAGCTGATATTTTACTCATAAACGTAGCACACCAGAGGTAACCAACAATTCTGGACCAGAATCTGTAAAAAAAAAAAATTACTTTCTAGAAGCAATAAAATGCCACTCTTCATCTGCATTAATAGCTCCACCAAAATAATAATAATAATTTGGCCACCAACAATCTATCAAGGGAAATTATCTGGCTATAATGTTTATTATTAATTATTCACAGAGGAATCAAAGTGCATATTACAGATGTAAAATTTAAAGTGTAGTGGAAATCATTTTTTTTTTTTTGCCTATCTCTTCCTTCTATTGAAGGTCTGGTAATAAACAGCAGGTGCAATACAAAGCACATTGCTGAACGAACACTGTTTGTTTTTTTTAACAGCTTTGTGCACAATGCATGCTTCATTTGCATGTTGCATATTGAAGCTCTGTATTCCTTATTCCCTTGTGTAGCTAAACTAGAAATATTAGCCACTACATATACAGTACATAAACACAAGAGCACACTGATTTTTGCCTCCCTTTTCAAGTAAAGCACATCAATAAATAAATAAATGCAATTAAAACCAACAAATAAATAAACCTTCTAATTTATAAATGCAAATCTGACCCAAATCATTTAGGGCAATCCAGAGGTTTTAATTTAGATGAAATTCATTATACTTGCTGAAATCTGAATAGTTGAAGAATTGCTCAGGAATTAATTTCTACACAATTCATAAACTAGTCATCAAAATTAATGAATTTATTAATTGCTATATTGGCTTCATATTATGCACCCATCGTCATTTAAACTAAATCAAGAAGTAAAATAAGAAAGCTGCTGGAATAAATGGACACAGGACTGCTGGAAAATCAACAAATTTCAGGTGTCATGTTTTTAATGGCTAATTATTTTGAAAGTTTATCTTTTTAGTAAATCGTAACAGAAGGAATAGAAGGAGCATGCAGGCTCCAAGAAGGTTACTAGCGATTTAACAATTTACATACATGTGTTAAGGTCTAGCTTTATACAATGAAGATATTTCAGGTTATTTTGAAAGTTTGGATATGATTTTACTAATGTGCATGTAATGGAGCTCCCTGTACCCCTGGTTGGGTACTTCCGCCAAGGATCGCTTCCTAGCTGGAACAGGGGACAAACCGCAGCACTTCTTCCCACAGTCGCCGTGGCTTGACTGGGGTCCGAGAACAGCTCCTTCCTGAAACTGATTGGGGAAATTCGCTCTAGACACCCCCAGGCACTGGACGACACTCAGTCCTTGAAGCTCTAGTCCTTACAAGGACTTTCCCCATTAAATCCCCTGCAAGCTGGAACAACAGACACAGGGTTAAATCTTCCTTCCCTCCAATACCAGGACGACACTCAGTTTTGGAGTGCAAGCCGGAATGCTTTAATGGCAGCCATAACTGGCCTTATATACATGTCCCCATGCAAGGGGCACTCCCCCCTGGACTGTGTGGCGGACTGCAGCAACAAAAAATTACAAACCCATGACAATAAGGTCACATGGCACGATGCTCCCACACACGGCATACAATCCCTCCCCTCTGCCTGGGAGACAATTGAGTCAGATACTGTATTAACTCAATTATCTCCAGCCAGAAAAATCACACATTTCTATAAAGTCTGAAAAGTATTCCAAAACACATAATATCCCCACAAATGTTACATCCCCTGATAGCCCTGATCTTGGTGACCAACATATCTAAAAATCACCCAGATCAGTTCAGAGGTTCAGGAATTCTATGGAACAGATCCAGAGAATCAGGCCTTGCAGTCGGTCTAGTTCGGCAGTTTAAAAATGAACAAACTACCAAACAGAGTCAATAGTCTTACCCTGGAGCTTGTTCCCCTCATACAGACGAATTATCTCACCGAACTGTGTCCTTTTAAGTTGAATAGAATCGAACGCAGGCAATGATGGAAGTCCAGCGGTGTTCGGGAGTTTCTGTATCCGATTTTAGTTCCATGAGATTCATGCCCAAACACCGCTACCTGCGTTCATGCGAACAAGATAGCCGCCACCTTGTGGTTGTCCATGGGAATTACGGCCACCCAGATAAACAATTTGAACACTGCGGTGAGAAATGTTCAAATTTGTTAATAGGTGTTAACAAGCTCCAGAGTGGTCTCTTGTTCGTGCGGTTGTTCGGTAATTTGAAGTGCTGCTTACACATCCAAATGGCACAAACAGAGACTTTAACATTATTTTTCACAGAGTTTATAGTCTGTGGGCAGGAGGCTGGCAAGCAGGCTCCTCCAGGAACTTGTGGCAAACTCACTGAAAAAGGGGAGTTTGTCACACTGCAGGTCCCAAGAATTTCTAGCCAAACAGGAGTACCATACAAAGGCCAATCCCAATTCCATCTCATGTGCAGGGCTGTGGCTTAATTTGAATAAACATGTAAATAGTCATATGGACCAATTTCTCTTTAGGGGCAATGAATGTCCGATTGCCACAATTTAAATATGATGGTTGTGGGAGGGGGGGCAGGGGTCAATGTATGGAGAGGTGAGTTTCTGTGTACCCATCACCTTCTCTAAAAGAACTATCCAACATTTAGCATCTCTATGTCATCAGCACAATTATTACAAGCATTTATAATAGATTGAAAAATCATTTAACTGTAACCCATCCAAAAAGAAAGAAACAACTAAACAGTAAACATCAAAATCAGTGTTTAAGTTATTATTTAGTTTGATTTACACACAATAAGTAGTGCCTTGAAATGCCATTGGATTACTGATTGATTGATTGATTGATTGAATGATTGATTGATTAATATTTAAAAACTTTTCTTCTCAGGATATCTGTTCCTTCTTCTTTCACCAGTGAAAAGAAGGACAACATTGAGGAATGGTTCTTACAAGTAGTTATGTAATAATACACCTGGACATTTTTTATCCAGATGTACTACAATCAGATTGACCATGTTCCTTACATTAATAGGAGATGCAAGATCCTTCTTTGTAGCTACATTATTTATATATTTAATTTCTTCTGTAAATACCTACAAACATTAACCACATGGTATGCCAGTTGAAATGGACACCCCCGGCAGTAAATGTTGAAAGCATAATTACAATTCCATATGTACTCAACAGGCCCCATGAACCTCATCTGAAAAAAATATAATCTGACTTAAAATGATGGTTTTTTCAATACAACATGTAGGCCACCATTTACTTTTCAGCTCCAGATGGTCAATCAGCAAACCATTGTAGCTTGTCAGAGAAATTATAATATAACAAAGAAGGTTCTGTGTAATAAGGAAAAAATATAATGAATTAAAATTTCTATTTTTGGCCTTGAGTTAAGTGGTAAAGCCAATAAAAGTCTAGTTGTGGTTCACTTGCACAAACAAATTCCCAGAGTAGCCCATTCATATGCTATTTTTTTAAATGTTTATGTGATTTTATCCCTACTTATCAAAAAAAAAGCCCAGAATTTTCATTATATTGCTTCTTTGCACATTATCCTTTTCCTTGCATACAAAATTAAAAGGATGGCTTAACATAAACATATTAACTTTCTGTGATATCCCTAACAAAAATTCAAAATATTCTACACTGTTTGACACTGTTGCACATAGAAGGCTTATCAATAAACTACAATCTTTAAGTTTGGATTCTAATATTGTTGAATGGTTAAGACAGAGCCTGAGTGGCAACAGACGGTTGTAATCAATGGAGTATATTTGAAGCATGGTCTAGTTACCAGTGGAGTACCTCAGGGATTTGTACTTGAACCCATTCTCTTTAATATTTATATTAGTGATATTCTAGAAGGTCTTGATGGTAAGGTATGTCTTTTTGCTGATGATACTAAGATACAAATGCTCAAAGTTTAGGGAATAAGATCCATGAACTTGTGGCAATAATGACAATTGCTGTTACTGAGACATGGTTTAATGAGAAAAATGACTGGGACATAGTAATACCAGAGTACTCTTTATATAGAAAAGACAGGGAAGGCAAGAAATGGGCAGAGGGTGGTGTGTGTGAAGGATAGCATAAAATCTAGCCTAATAAAAATTAGTGAGGCAAACATAGAGTCTGTTTGGGTTACGTTATAATTTGGTAATCACACAGTAACTCGTGTAGGTTTGATTTATGGGCCCCCAGGACAAATAGGAGATTTAGATAATCTACTAGTTGAGGAAATAGCTGAAATGACAATGAAGGGGGAAGTTATCACCATGGGTGACTTTAATCTTCCTGATGTGAACTTGAAAACCAAAAAAGCTGCTTGTGCCAGGAGCACACATATTCTAAACTCCATACTGGGATTGTCTCTAAAGCAAGTCGTTGAGGAGCCAACTCGTAAAGTGACAATACTAGATTTAGTGTTAACAAATGGAGATTTGGTATCAGATATTACTGTATGTAAAAGTTTAGTACCCAGTGATCATCAGTCAATGTGGTTTAATATAAGAACAGTGACTGAGTCACACCACACAAAAAGCAAAAGTTTTAGACTTTAGAAAAACAGACTTTTCTAAAATTAGAATATGTGTAAAGGAGTCATTATCAGACTGGAGCAGTTTAAATGGAGCCCAAGAGAAATGGGATTATTTAAAAGTTGCACTGCTGAAGGCAACAGAAAATTGCATTAGGCTTGTCAGTAAAAGCAAACAATTTAAGAAACCACTGTGGTACTCCGCAGATGTGGCCAAAATGGTAAAAAACTAAAAGTTATCATTTAGTAATTATAAAAAAAACAGAGTGAGGAAGATAGACAGAT